TCTAAATACTAATTGTTACCGAGAGTGATACACCTTCCAGAGACTACGTCCCCAAAATATATATTTTCTATATTTCATCTTACGATGATGTGTGGGGAACCAGGGGTTGAAGGGTGGGTGGGTTTTTCGAAAACCCAAACCAAACTGTGTCATGAAAACAATAGGAATGTTTATTTTTCAAACACACGACGCAAACGTTGTCTAACAAACAAAAAATAGAATAGCTCCCGAATAAACACCTAACCTTACTTGCCTTCTATTTCCCTTAACAAAGAGGGGATTAGCTGCCCCACCCCCCCTCCCCCTATTAGCACTTCATGTTAAGTGGCAATATATTTATTATAGAAAATAAGTGACACATACCGTCAGTGTGGAGGATACAGATAAGCTACCCAGTCAAAAATAGTCTTATTCAGATACTGAAAGTCGCTCACTGCAGATTCATACGAAAAGCTCTGACCACCATAATGTTGCAAAAATTGCCCATACCTATCATAAAAACTATTTCTCAATAACTTTGTAATGATTTGTGCTGATAAAAGTGACACAATGCTGATAATATATCTAAATATAAAATCTTCTGTACCCTAAAGCACACTGACCACTAAAGTTCGTAGGTCCAGCCACGGGAAGAGTTTAATGAAATCTGAGGAAGTGAGAAAGAGTATGTATTGTTCTGATATGGGAGGCAATTATGGAAAACAAGTAGTAATGTGGTTAAGTACTTAAGGATGAATAATAGAAATTTTGGCTGGCGTGGACTTGGGAAAATTGCATGTAAAGTTCTACGGGAACAGACCGTGGGTTGAAAATTAACCCTTATTACTATACGAACCAAAAGATAAGATAACATTAATATGAGATTATTGCAATAACATAGTTTGGAGTATTCGGACTCGAAGCTTCTCTTTATCAAAGCAGTGGTCTGTGGTTCAGAACACAAGAAACTATCTCTGTCTGATTACCGGGCTCCCCAAATAGGCATAGCCCGGGCGAGGCTCCGCTTCGCGAATCTAAAAAAAAAAAAAAAAAAAAAAAAATCTCTGTCTGCTTCTCTCTTTCTGTGTCTTTCTCTCTCTCTCTTTCTGTCCCTCTCTTTACATATATATATATATATATATATATATATATATATAATGTATGTATGTGCGTATGTGTGTAGGGCCGCAATTTCTTTGCATAAATTATACTTTAATTGTTGATGCTTTACTGAATGAAAACTACACTGGATTCTGGAGAAAAACAATTCTTGTTGCTTTTTCCTTTATTCTCTATAACTGATGAAATACAATTTTTACATGTTCATCCGATATCCAAATTCATAGCAAAACTGCAAACAAAACAATGTGGAATGTAACAACTATGGCTACATGGTCATATATATATTATATGTAGGGCCAGCAATTTCTTTGCATAAATTATACTTTAATTGTTGATGCTTTACTGAATGAAAACTACACTGGATTCTGGAGAAAAACAATTCTTGTTGCTTTTTCCTTTATTCTCTATAACTGATGAAATACAATTTTTACATGTTCATCCGATATCCAAATTCATAGCAAAACTGCAAACAAAACAATGTGGAATGTAACAACTATGGCTACATGGTCATATATATTATCAAACTAGTAATAATTCACACACTTATCTCAATTAAAGCTTTGAAAGCTAACACACTTATAAAACATAACATTATAATAGGATAAATAATCTAGTACAAAGAATGTAACTTACCTCCAAATCCCTACAATAGGACCTGGTTCTGTTAGGCGACCACAGCTGCTGTTCCAATACCCATATATGCATTCAATTTTGAAACAATCTTTTAAAACATATTCATTCACCTTTTATTTCCTAATTGGGCTGCTACCCTTACATGGCTCCCCTAAATAATTTACAACAATTTACAATTAACATTATACTACCTTAAAACTATATACTTTACAAGACTTTCTTTTCTGAAATACAAAAATGAAACATTAGCTTCCAAGGTAACACACATAAAATAAAAATGTTTTTTCCTGGTCATCAAATAAACTCCCTATATTATAATAATATAATCAGACAATGAATAGGTCTCTCAACATAAGTAAATTCTTGAATCTTTTACCATTTTTATCAAGACATGAATCTGACATCATAATTTTTGTTTTCCATACATGTCTACCTTTATCACAAATTAATTCACTTACATGACCCATTTTCCAATGGTTTCTAGTTTTATTCTGATCCTTTACAATCACAAAATCACCAACTTTCATATCTCTTCTGGGTTTAATCCTCTTACCTCTAGATTGAAGAGATTGCAGAAACTCTTTCTTCCATCTAGACCAAAACACATTGGTTAAATACTGTATTCTTCACAATTTTTTCCTTGAATATAGATCATTACTTTGAAAGTTACCTGGTGGTGGAGATTTCATAGTGAAAAGATGGTTTGGAGTTAGAGGGTGTAATTTCTCTATTGAATTAATACTGTCCAGTGTCAATGAATGCCTATTGACAATGGATTCTGCTTCAACCATAAATGTTTGCAATGAATCATTATCTAGTTGAGTTCAATGCTGACAAAGTATCACAGACAAAATGTTTCATACAGTACGAATCTGTCTCTCCCATACACCTCCCATATGACTAGCATAAGGTACATTCATCATAAAATTAATCCAATCACATTTGTTCTTTAACATTACATTGCTGATTTTAGTTTGATCCATTTCCTTTAAGCAATTCTCAAGTTTGTGGCAGACGCCACAATCACCTCACCATGCTGAGCGGTGGCACCAATAACCCACAGTGAAACGTCATGGCATATCACTCACTCTCTAGAGGGGGAGTACCTGTAGCAGCATGACCCTGCAACCTGAAGTTCAGCATACTTTCCCAGGATGGTTCACATCAATTCTGCAGCCAAGTCCTTGCTCATTAGACAACGGGCTCCCCTCGTTCCCTGATCAATTACACAGTGCACATGTACTTGAGCTGCAGAATCTGGAACTGAGATCAGCATTCCCTGATCCTCCAGACGAAGATGACCACCAGCAGCGGCAAAAACAAGACTTCCTAGTCCTTAGCCAGCTGAGGAGCCATCCCAGGCTCCCCCATTGATTTCTACTTCAACTCCAAACTTCTAGCCATACATGTGGGCACTCACACCCACAACAATCACTCCCTAATGAGATACAGACCAGTCTAAGTGGTAGATGCCAAAACATGCTCTGCTACAAGTTCACTCTTGGCATCTACAAAATTTGTACCTCTATCTGATCTCAAATGACATACTGGCCCTCTTCTTCCAACAATAAGCATTGAGAAAAGAATCAGTATCCATATATTCAACTTCTAGGTGAATAGCTCTTGAAACTAAACATGTGAACAATGCTCCATATCTCTTGACTTCACTGCAGCTTATCTTCACATAAAATGGACCAAAATAATTTACAGAGTAAGGTAACAGTAACGTAGTACTGCTACATTAACCTGGTCACGGGACAATTCCAGGTCACTGTCCCTTGGAGACCTATCTGCACCTCCCTTATTGCATTATTTACCTGATGCGAGCACCACCTGGCCACCCACGCATCGCACACCTGGCATGTATGTGGTAGCGGCCTAAGCAGAAGGAGCTAGGGAGTCCAGGTCACGTGCCGTGACCTGGACTCCCCAGCTCGCATACGAGAAAAACAAGTTGTTAATATTGATATATATAATTCAACTAGACTTGAACTATAATTTATCTATACACACACATAGCTAATTATCAGAAATGCAGGAGTACTTCATATCCACAGTACTTTATACTGAACTTTTCATCACTAATTGGCCAAGGTAAATGAGTAATACCAATGCGCTGCTTCCCAGTTTATCTTCGTCAAAGAGCCTAGCTATAAGTTGACCATCCTTGCACCAGTCGCTAAAGATTCAAACATGTACAGTGGTGAATTCCTGGTAAAATACATAATACTGACCATTGACCTTTGTTAGTAAAGGGGGGGGTACCATGGTAAGACAAGGAGTGGGCGAACAGTCCCACTACAACAGCACAATAAGTGAATGGAGGAGAGGGTTCAAGTCTGTCCTTTGGCAAATCTGACACTTTTTGGTCAAGTGTATTACCTCTTGATTTCTTAGAAAACAATAGTTTCGAGTATGCTTAGCTACCATAGATGATCCTACAATCCAGTAACCTACTGATCTTATTTCATTTAAAATTATGTCATAATTTTCAAGGCAAAAACTTTGGTGATATTGACATATCAACAATTCTGATAAGTGGCATTTACCTGGCAAATTGGATGTCTACTTGCTTCATTCAAGTTTGCTTGACTAAGTCTTCTTCGTACTTTTATGATTCGATCTGTATTTATAAATGGATCTAATTTATACAAACTGCTTGCTTTATTTAGTGTATTCTCCTTTGTTAGAAGAATCCTTCTTTCATCAGCATAATGTTTACTCTGATGCTCCTTCATTATGACTTTCGCTGCATTGTCAAGCTCTCTTCTTATCAATTTTCTCCTCAGATTATTCTGTGGTTTTCATTTACCTACTTTGTAATCTCAAACACAATGCAATAGCTCTTTTAGTTCTAAACCAATCAGAGAAATAGTATAATCAATCAAGAAATGGTACTTCTTTCCTTGAAGTTACTACAAATGACACTTTCTTTACTTCTAGATCATTCTCTAAAATGGATCTTTGTTCACAGGTCTAGATCATTCTCTAAAATGGATCTTTGTTCACAGGAACTTACATAATTATTAAGTTTCTTCCAAAGAAACTTTGGACCATTCCACCACATCAAATTATTCACCAATTCTATAACACAAAGTCCACGATTTGATTTGACTCAGACCGCACATAATTCCACTGAATACGATCAGTCCTATCTCTAATATACTGAACTCTATTTGCAACAAGAACATGACACCTTTTGACATCATTTGAAACATATCTGTCCAAAATATTTCCTTTATATTTTTGATAATCAAGTTCTTTTCTTAACATGACACTTTAGTTAACACTACTGGAGCTGTCAGTTCCAATCTTGGAATAGTAACAGCTTTCAGTGGAGTAAGTCTAGACTTGGACATAACTAAAGAACAATTAATTTCATCATTAACATTAACAAATCTAATATATGAACACTGTCCATAGCCATCTTGGCAGGCATCTGGAAAATGATGTAACTCTACTGATTTAATTTCTGCAAAGCCTTCTGGTTTATAACATATTGGCAACTTAAGGTTCTGCAACTCACTTAATTCATTTCTCCATTTTTCCCACAAGGGTTTAATATGATCAGGCACAAGATCATCCCATTCTCCTTTACCCCCACATAAACCCTGCTTTATTTTCTTTCCTAATAGAATAATTCAAGATACTAGTGCCAAGGGATCAAATATGGAACTTACTGTTGACAAAATGCCACTTCTGGTTAAAGGCTTGCTATTGAAATTAACTCTGAATTGAAAAGTATCAGATTCTATGCACCATTCTATTCCAAATGTTC